CGCCGCTCTCGCCGCAAAGAACGTTCTCCAGACGGCGTCGGCCGCGTAGCTGACGCAAACCACGTTTCCTCCTCGGAGCTGCAGTGGCTGCGGACACGACGCTGACGGCATTCGCGTCACCGGGAGGCCGGTCGGACTTCAGGTCTCCACCGAGTACCCGCCTCCTCCGGGCCAACGGGTGGCGAGCAGCTCGTAGGTTCTCAGAGCTCTCATTGGAGACGGAGAAAGAGGCGAAACCGCCCTCCAGCGGCGCCGTGTTCATAATCGTGCCCTTTGACCCACAACCGGCGCAACTTGTTCGCGTGAAAAGGTTTCAGCCGCTCTACTGGATTTCCGTGGACTTTAAACAAACACAACTGTTCATCCTTCGTTCACGCTGCAGTAGATCACGTGATCAACGGACACACGCGTGACCTGCGTGTCTGCGTCTCCGCTCTGCTGCCGGTGACGACTCGCTTTGTCCTCCTCCTGGTGTCTTGACCCCCCCCCCCGGTGCATTTCATCCCGCATGAGGCACATGCAGCTTCAAATCATTACTGTCAGTGTGTGTGTGTGTGTGTGTGTGTGTGTGTGTGTGTGTCTGTGGCCGCAGAATGAATGGACCACAGGGGCGGGGCACCGGCATGTCGGACTGGAAGACGACCAGAAGTCCCAGAACAGGCTTCTTCTCTGTTCACCGCAGCGGCCGAGCAACTGTGGGGGTTATGGTTGGGGGTTTGCCATCGCACACGTCCCCACGCAGACACACACACGCACACACACACACCAGTTAGACGGAATTGCATTATTGGCTCTCACCGCAGGCTTTCCTGAAATATCAGCAGCCGTATGCTTTTAATTAGTGTGTGTGTGTGTGTGTGTGTGTGTGTGTGTGCGACCATACATACCGTTTGTGTCTCATTCTGACCCACAGGACCCGTCTCGTAGGACCCCAAAATCCCCTGTTTTCTTTGGTAGAACATGGAAAAACGTGCTCTTAACTGCCCCCCCCCCCTCCCCCACTGCCCTCCTTCCTGCTTCCTAAGAACCTCTGGTGTGCGGTGAGTTCCTGCCCTCCGTGCCCATATACGGCACTTCCTCCCACCGAGGCCGGGCCGCGCGTTCCCCCCCCCCCCCCCTCCGCGCTCGCAGTTCCATCGGCCGCGTCCCCCCCCCTTCGCCTCCTTCTTCTCCAGCTTCGGCTCCGGCTTTTTCGCTTCTTGTCATTTATTTTCCGCGGCATCACAGCCGGCGGCCGGCGGGCCTCCGCGCACCCTCGCCGGCTTCTGATGGTTCGGAACGCGCTCGTGTAGGTGCGGCGAGATTGGGATGTAACAACAGTAGTAACGTGCATGCAAAGAGGTGGTGTGTGTGTGTGTGTGCGTGTGTGTGTGTGTGTGTGTGTGCGTGCGTGCGTGGCGAGGCTCCGGTCCGCGGCCTGGGAGCCGGGCTTTGAGCTCTGCCGTTCATAGTCTGCTGATTTATGCGCCTCACAGGGAAATCTCTCATTTGTTGCTCTTTCATCTCCTCTCTCCCCCCCTCTCCCCCCGCCTCCCCCCTCTCCCTGTCTGTCCTCTCTCTTCTTCCCGCCGTAATGTGATTCAGTGCAGCCGCTGGTCCCAGGCGACACGCCGTGCTCTGCCTGCACAGCCGGCTCTCTGACATGAATGAGTCAATTGATGAATAATAAGATCGAGCAGAAGGAAAAACGCTACCCGGCTCTCGTCGAGCAAAAGGACTCTTCTCTCCTCAGCGTGTTCTTTGTGAGCGCCGCTCGGGTGCTTACTCACACATCCAATGTGTTCGTGTCCCCAGTGCAATAATGCTTTTACAAACCATTGTGTGTGTGTGTGTCTGTGTGTGTGTGTGTGTGTAAGGGCCTTCCACCACCGCCTTGTTTGAGGAGCGCTGTCACTTGTGCAATTCCGTGGTGTCAAAACAGATCAGAAAGGTCTGGCTTGACTCCTGCCCCTAAACACACACACACACACACACACACACACACACACACACACACCACACACACACACACACACACACGCACACAGATTGGAGGCTCGCTGCCAGGGCTCTTGGTGGTTGGAGGCTTATGAAAGGGTCGAACTGACGAGAGGTTGCCAAGTGTACGGCAACGAGCGCAACAGCCAAGCTAACGAGAGTCAGAACCTCCGACACGCGCACACACACACACACACACACACGCACACACACGCACACTGAGACTGTACGCCGCGCTCTCAGCGGCACAATGTGTGTGTCTGGCGTGAGAGAGTGTGTGGACTGAGGCTTTTGTTATTTGGCAAATGAGACAAAGGAGCATGAGCGGATATTGATCTTCAATCGGATGCAGATCAATATAAGTCCTTCCAGGTGTGTGTGTGTGTGTGTGTGTGTGTGTCAATCAGCAGCGTCCATTCAGAGAGCCACAGCAGAGAATATCAGTCCATTACGTTATCTGCGTCCGCTCCTTTCACCCCGTGACATTCACTTTATCTCCAGCATCCGCTGGAGCCGCCTTTCCCTTTTCTCCTCCGCCCGCTTTGCCTCTTCATCCTCCTCTTCGTCGTCCCTTTCTCTCTGTGGAGCGGCGAGGGGCCTTGGGGGGGGCGGTGGGGCCCGCCGTCCCGTTGTCTGGCTGTTTTGTTTCGCCGTAGATTTCATCGAGGGCTCTTCAGTGACGGACACACAAAGGAGAGCGGATCGCGAGAACGACAGCGTCACCTTGACTCCTCTCCGGGGTTTCTGAACACGCTCTAAATCACGCTTAGTTAAAGCCGCCATCCTGCGTCATTACAGGTGGGAGAACGCGACCACGCTCCCGAGTTATTACACGTGTCATTTGAGCTTTTCGCAGCAGCGGCCGCGTGACTTCTTTCTGCGGAGGGCCCAGAATCTTCTGCCCTCTTCGCCGAGCGGCGCCACGTGGGCGTGAAACGGCGTCTCCGCTTATTCCGATGAATCCGCCGACCGCATGTTTGGCGCCGTTGTCCACGAGCACAGCAGAAACACGCCAAGCAGCGGGGAAACCTGCCCAGGAAAACAAAAAGGCACAACTCCAGCATTTCTCCTCTTTTATACATGAAACGGCGTCGAGGTGCTTTTTGAGTGGATTTTCCTCTCAGCGAATCCAGTTCCAGTCAATCCTCAATGACGTGAAGCAGGAGCCGCTCACTGGAAGTACAGCTGGCTGCATTAGCGCCAGTCGAGGCTCATAATTCGGCGTCTTATTACCTCGGATCGTCGACTTTCGGAGGATTCGCCGCCTGCGTGTTGACACACTTTTCCAAGTCGTGATGCCAACAGGGAAAAAAAAAAAAAAACGGGTGACACGCAAACACATTTTCCTTCTTTGATTACCAGCGAGAGGCTGAACGGAGTCGGCAGCTTGTGTTTACGGTAAATAACATATGCTCGTATAGCAATAGGCAGCGTACATGAGAACGTCACCGGGGGGGTCAGGGTCGCTCCGGCTGTACGAGACGTCCGCGCTTCTGTGCAGAGCGACGAGGACGCGAGATCGTGGGAGGAAAAGAAACGCGAGAGAGGACGTCAGAAGTCAAGAGACACGCGGCCCGGCGTTAGCGGCGATTTTCTACTTCAGCAGAAAACAGGATTTCTCTCTTCAGCCGGCGGAAAAAGACACCAAACAGGCGGCGAGGGGAGAGGGAGCGAGGTGACAGGAATGAGGAGGAGGAAGGGAAAGAGATGAGGAAATGGAAAGAAGATGGTGATGTGGGGGGGCCGGAGGGATTAGGGAACATCCGTGGGGAGAAAGTCCAACAAGGAATGCTGAGTGTTTAAATCACAGAACGTACTCGTCAACATCACTGCCGTTTGAAACGGGCGCAACAAGTGTCTCCTTTAACGCGCTCGGACGTTTACGGGCCGGAGGGACACTGGAGACGCAAGAAAAGCATCGCTTCTCGACTTCCTTTTCTAACGTCTGTCGAAAGTAAACGGGGCATTCGTCTCCATTTGACACACGCGTGTGCGTGCGTGCGGTGTGTGTGGTGTGTGCGCTCTGCCGGGGGGGGGGGGGGGGGGCTTGTGAAACCAGCCCGGGTCTTAAACGAGCTGTGTTTTATTATGGCTGGCTGAAAGGCCGCTGATCTGCAGATGTACGAGAAAAGATTTGCAGGGAGAGAAAAGAAAGGAGAGAAAAAAAGAAAACACTGTAAAAATATCCCGTCTGAGGGAAAATAAATGTCCGAACGGGAAACTTTCTTCTTCCTCCAAATGTATTATGACTACAGAGAGAGAAAATATCAAACGCAAAATATTTCTACTTTTAAATTGTCTTCATATGTGTGTGTGCTTCAGATCCAGCTGTACAAACACACACACACACACACACACACCTTTTTCTGATTTGTCTCTACACGCCGCTGCATCTCCCTCCTCTTCCTCCCGTCCCTCGCTCCGATGCGAGGAGGAGGAGGAGGAGGAGCGGCAGATCGCAGCGGGTCGGGGGCCCTTGTGGTTGCGGGCGTCGGGTCGCGGTTGAGGTGACGGTTCTGTGCACGCGTGTGTGTGTGTGTGTGTGTGTGTGTGCGTCAGGCACTGCTCTGTGGACTGTTGTGGTTGCGGTAATTGTCTGTGAGTCGAGGCAGCGTTTGAGGGTACGACCCCACCCTCCTCTCTCTCCACCCAGTGACTAATTACCCCCCCCGGGTTAGTTTGCTCCTTTCCTCTACAGCCGCTAAACGCGAGCACGCTGATAAGTGGACGAGCGTCCAAAGTGCGTCCCCACGCGCTGTTGTTCAATGCGAGCGGTCAAACCTGGACCCGGACGGAGGATTTAAGTACAGGAGAGACACACGAGTGCTGGGAACCAAAGAAAGACGTTGTTATTCAGGCGTCTCGTGCGTCTCAGATTCTTCTTCTCTGTCCTTTCTGATCCTCGGTGGTTATCGGAGGTCACAACGCCACCTCTCGCTTTGTGGGTGACGTTTAAACCCAAACACGTGTTTTATGGCGTTGGGCCCCCCCCCCCTCTAACCTCCAGCGTCTGTGTCACGTAGGTGCTTCCTTCATGGGCTCCTTCCTGGCCAGCAGCCTGGGGTCGCCGGCCTCCCACCCGCCTCACCCCTCGGGACCCGCCGCATCCCCCTCCTCCCCCTCCTACCGGCACGGGCCTCATTCCAGCGCCTCGCCTATCTGGTTCCCCCATTCGCATGAAGGTAAGACACACACACACACGCACACACGCACAGCAGTGATGCTACTGATAGAAACGCACACACAGAAAAGCCTCTGTTCTGTCAGCGCGCGTGTGGCTTTGTGTGTTTGAGGCGGTTTTCTAGTTATGAGCTTCCAAAAATGTTTTTTTTTGACTCGACCAAAGTCTTCCGCCTCGCACACAAATACACAAACGCACAACCGCGCACACACCTTCATGCGGTGCACGAATGAGATCACAACGTAGAATTTCACGAGACACTTCAGGCCTTTCAATCAATCATCTTTCAGGCCCCCGTGAGGGACGAGTTTTAAGTTTCATGAGCTCACACGCACACGCACACGCACACACACACACACACACACACATACCCCCATTTCCACCATCCTCTCCCTCTTTACAGCCCCCTCCCCCCTCCGACCGCAGCCCCACCCTCAGGGCCCCTTGTTGGCCAACCGACCTCCAACGGCCCCCTTCCTGATCAAACGCACACAGACGCACACACACACGCACAAACATGTGCGCATCCACATGCATCATGTCCTCTTTTGGCTGTTAACCGTTTGTGGTCAAATAGTGAGCCTGGTTATCTGTCCCGTTCAGGTGTGTGTGTGTGTGTGTGTGTGTGTGTGTGTGTGTGTGTGTCTCCTGACAGCACGATGAGTAACTGATCACCTCAACAACAACAGAAAGTCGGATTCCCTGCAGGCGTTTCTCCACCAACGGTGAAAAACGCTCACAATCGCTATTTCCCGTTTCGCCAGTTTTTCACCCAAAACAAACGTGGTTTCCTGAGAATGAAACGGAAGCGCGTCGGCGCTTGGTTCGGTTCGCTTTGACCTCCTGCGGAGTGGAGCCCCGTAAGCGGGCCGAACGCACAACTTTCACGCGTCACGGCCGCGAGACGCGTCAATCACACCTGGCGTTCCGTCCAGCGGAGCCAATCCGGGCACTTTGGGGACGACTCATTTGCCGCATTTGCCCCAAATTTGCCCCAAAACGAGCGCGCGCGTCGCCCAGAGTCACGGTTTTAATCAGCCTGCGAGGAGCGCTGTGCGTCTGCGTGTGCGCCTATCACAAGGATTTGTGTCGGCTTGGCTTTGATGTCTAAATGCGCACACACATACACACACACACACACACACGCACCACAAATGATTGTTTTTAAGAATTCCAGCCAGGAGCTCCGGGAGGCGGCGTGCCAGCTGGCCGCGGTCCAGAGAGCCGTGTCGCCAGCAGAGAGGAGGAACCTGGCCGACGCACAGCAGACACACACACACACACACAGATGAGACACATTCACATATATTCTTTCTCTCGCGCACAAACACACACACCCACGGTTTGTTTCACACACACCTTCCCACTCTCTCTCTCTTCCACACCTGTCCTTGTTTTTTAGTCCTCTCGCTCCTCATCTCAAAGCTCTTCACCCCCCCTGTCACACACACACACACACACACACACACACACACACGGACGCGCACACACACACACAGACGCACACACTCCCCGTACGCCTCACAGCAGCAGCAGCAGCGGCAGATTGGAAGCTTTTCAAATCGACAGCCCCGTTCTTCTTCTTCTGCTGCCTCTTTTACTTTCACTGGCTTCACGTTTGTTCAATAGTTAACCTCTTTAATCCCCCCCCACCTCCACCCACCCCCCCCTATCCTCCACCTGACCCCCCCCCGAGTCCCTTTGACGTCTCGGCCCCCCCCCCCTGAGTTTTATCCCTCATCATTACCCAGGGGATTGGCTTTAGATGGCCGATGGAGCCTTTTGGCTAATTGTCGCCATTTAGATTCACTGGTTGTTAACCAGTCAGAGTAATCACACACACACACACACACACACACAGCGGCGTGCACAAAGCCGTGCATTTACACTGCGGCATGAACACGCAGTGGCACACACACACGCGCGCGCTGGGAGCGGTGAGGGGGTGTTGGTGGTTTTGCAGTGCGACGGTGGAATGCGTAGGATGAGTTTTTATGGAGTGCTGTTTACTTTGGCCGCCGCCGTTAAACTTTTAACGGCTGCCAATTAACAAGCCGGCAAGGACACTCTGTGGGGCATGAAGGCAGCTGCTGGAGAACGCACACACACACACACACACACACACGCACAATCCAAACGTTTTACGCCAATATTCTGGAGTTGTGTTCCTGTTGTGTGTGTGTGTGTGTTTGTCTACTTGTGTGTGTGCGTGGGCGGCCTGTGGTGTTTTTGATGTTATTATTAACATCGCACCTCAACGACCACAACAATGCCACACACACACACACACACACACACACACCAATGAGACCCCCCCCACTCCGAGAGACACAGTTCAACGTCCTTGAAGACGAGAAACAGAGTGGAACGACCGTTCACCTCCCAGTGACCTCCTGTGTGTGTGTGTGTGTGTGTGTGTGTGTGTGTGTGTGTGTGTGTGTGTGTGTATTAAGGACTGGGGAGTTGTGATACTTTGTACTATTTGTCCTCTCGCTTTGGGGAAAATGTGTTTTGCAGAGGAGCAGATTCCATCCGGTTAAATGCTGCGAACACCCGGCTGTCTGCTGTGGTTTCTGTCACCACTTTGTCCACTGTAAATAATGTCAACTCGCGCCGCGTGTTTGTGTAAAAGTGCATTTATGGCCAAAGTAGCGCTAACTGGCCATATTTTTTCTGTGTTTTTTCCAAAATGGCCCCATCTCCTGATAGATGGGGGAGATAAAGTGTTTGTTTAGAGGGCTGCTGAATGTCAACGCTGCAGAGAGACATCAATCCTCTCTCCTCTGACAGGGTACCCCAGCTATTCAGGAAGTCTCGCTTCTCCTTTTCTCCCCATGAGTCCCCTGGATCACCATAGCAACAGTCTCTATGGACAGCACCGCTTCTATGAAACTCAAAAAGGTAGGTGTGTGTGTGTGTGTGTGTGTGTGAAAAATACCTTTATGTTTCCCAGACTGCTTGATCAGCACTCAGCGCAGGACGGAGAACAGCTTCTCCGCATGTCTGCAAACACGTTTCAATACAGTGATTTGAATCAAACTTTATCAAAGTGATGAAATGAAACACGCTTCTTCTCCTCGTCCTCCAGATCACTTCTACCTGAGAGGCCTTCCTCCCCAGCCCCCTCTGCTCTCCACCGCCCACGGCCTCCCCCCGCTGTCCAGGGCCGCCCCGGGCCACTCGCTCGGCTCGTGCGGGCGGGAGGCGGACGGCGCGGGAGGCGGCGGGAAGGGCGCCAAAGACGCGGGCGAGAAAGCGCCGGGCAGCGTCGCTGTCAAGCGGCGAGGAGCGGCCAGCAGCAAGAGGCAAGAGAACGCAGCAGCTTCATCAGCACCTCATCAGACGAACCCGGCGGCACGCTTCAAGCGGCGGCCACCACCACCACCACCAGCACCACCACGCTTACCCCCACCCTCACCACGCCCTCCTCGCCCACCTCCCGCCGCAGGGCCGCGAGGAGGACCACAGACACTCCCTGGAGCGGCACAAGGAGCTCCGGGGCGCCGACTCTGCCGGTCAGGAGCCGAAACACACGAGTGCCTGTCAGCTGTCCGGCAGCTCGGGGGCAGAGTCCGGCGCCGCGGGCAAAGGCGGAGCGCTGAGCAGCTGCAACGGAGGCGGGGTGGGCAGAACGCCGTCGGGCGGGGGCAGGCGGTGCTCCAAGGACGGACTCGTAAACGGCGAGATGAGAATCAGTGAGTCCTCTGCTTCTTCCAGTGAATGCACGAGAAGAGGTGCGGCCATCTTGGCGCCGCCCGGCCCCCACTCCGTGGCCTCCTACTCCATGCCCCCGCCTCCGCCACCTCCCCCGCACGCTTTGCAAATGGGCTCCGCGGTGGCGGGAGGGTGGCTGCACCACGCGCATCACCGTCCTCACCCCGAGTTCTACTGTCCCCCGGCCCCTCTCACGCTGACCCCCTCCAAAGAGCCAGCGGCCGCGCCCGGAGGGTCCGGCAGGGAGGCCAGACTCACCCACGTGCCCTCGGTCGGGGCGCTAGGAGACCCGGCCGCCGCCGACTGTCGAGCAGCAGCAGCAGGAGGTAGAAAGTCCGACGATAGAAGCGGAGAAGGATCGTATGAATGCCCCACTCATCACCTCAGCCGGATTAGTGTTTGCCAAAAGAAGGAGAAGTCGCAGCAGCTGGGATACGGCAAAGCTGACAAGCCGCCCGACTGGAGCCACCCGACGCAGAACCTCCACAAGCCCGGGTCCAACGCGAGCCCCCCGTCTGATCCGCGCTCCTGCGGCCTGGACAAGTCGTCGTCCCTCAGAGACGTGGAGGTGGTGGACGACGTTCACCGGCCTTCGCTGCCGCTGGAGGCCCGCGGGACGCAGCCCGGCGCCGGGCAGGCCGCGGCCAGGGACAACGCGGACCCCAGCACTCCCCCCTTCAGGGACTGCTCCCGCTCGGCTCCTCGCCCCGATGGGAGGGGGGGGCCGGGGATAACATCGCAGAGGGAGGGGCAGAAGGTGGCCAGGATACGGCACCAGCAGCACAGCAGCCACGGAGCAAACACGGACGAGAGGGGAAGAGACCGAGGTCAGACAGCGCCTTCCTGGGGGGGCCGGGGGGGCCACCAGGAGGACTCGCGAAAAAGCTCTCAGCATGCACCAGTTGGTAGCGGCGAAGTGAGAGGGCTCAGCGCCAGAGCTCCAAACAGTGACCACAACCAGCCCCACCCTCACCCTCCGTCTCACCCCTCGTCGCACACCGCCGAGGGCGAGGGCAGTGCCATGAAGAGTCTAATGAACTACAGCTCCCAGCAGCCTCTGCTGCTGCCGCAGCGGGGCCCCTTTGGCGGTCTGGGCGGCCTCAAGCAGGGTGGGGAGCGACCAGAGAAAGGGGAGCGCGGAGGCGCCAGAAGCAACGCTGCCCTGCAAGAGCCTCCCAAACAATCGCTGCTCCCTCGCCGCGGCTCCGCTAACGAGGGGGACAGGGGGGACAAAGGCGGCAAGGAGGCCGGGGAGGCGGGTGAGGGGGAGGTGCGACAGCCTCCGGTGGGTATTGCGGTTGCGGTGGCCAGGCCCCCCCATCGTTCCCCAGACAACACCCCCGGACACAGCAGACAGGGCAGGGTGCTGCCCAGCATGAAAGGTCAGACATCATTAATGCTCCTTGTGCTGAAAGTCGATTAATGCTATTTCTGTGCTCTTGGCTACGATTAAGGGGGAAGATCCGTGATTTAACACATTTATTGTGTTGCGCAGTAACATTTCTTGGTCCTTTTTGACGTTTACTGGGGACTTATTATCTATGACTAACTGGCCGAACCTTGCAGAGAAGCTTTAAGACCTTTAGACCTTTTGGATCTGCGCTTTGTGTTTTGTGTGTGAAACGGCGGCGTCGATGGCGGTCGCTGTAAGCCTGTTGCTCCGGTTGTGCTTGCCATGCAGGAGCGTCGCGCCACGTGTTTTCTCTGGGCCGGGAGGCCGAGGAGAGGAAGAGGATGACGGAGGAACAGATCGGCCTCCATCACCTGGACAGAGAGCGAGAGATGATCATCAGGTACACATGTGGTCGCACACACCGGCACCGGTGACCACATTGTAGCATCTATTAGTTTTTCCCCTCTCATCTGATAAGCTGCAGTTCCTTTATTCTCTGTCCGGGTCTGAGGTTCAGCTTCTCTTTTCTCTCTCATCCTCTCGCTCCTTTTACTCTTCTCACCCTTTGATGTGGTATTTCCGTCTCCCCCCCTCCTCGCTCTCTCTTTCTTCCCCTTTCTCTCTAAGATGAGATGTAGTGCATTAATGTTACAGGGACTAATGTGGATGTCTCTGAAGTATCGGGCTTATTATGTAGTCATATTAAGGGCAGAAAACCTATAATGAGAACCCATAGAGCAGGCACACCGTGATGGCTGCTCCTCTTGCCGTCACATTTCCTTTTCTCCGTGATCATAATGGTGGTGGTGGTAATGAAGATGACAAGGATGAAGATAATGGTCATAATGATGGCGATGATGATGATGGTGACAATAAGAGGGATAATAAAGGTAATGACAAAGTTCACCCCCGCCTGCCCGCCGCAACAGGGAAAACAAGGACCGCGTGGAGTTCGCCAGGATCCACCCGTCTAGCAGTTGCCACGGTGACCTGACCTCTCACCTCTTGGTCCCCGGGGGGGCCAGTAGGCTAGGGGTGGACCCGTCCGCACATGCTCACCCGGCCCACCACCACTGGATGCAAAGGACAGGAAGTCCCTCCCTCTGGATGGGGCATTCGTACGGTGAGTGTGAGCGTTTTTACGGCCGGGGCGAGCGCAGTTTGGGCTTCGCACATCGACACAGCCGCGTGGTCTCTCTCCTCCCCGAGATCCAGCGGATTGTCACCCTATTGATATTTTATGTCTATCAATGGGCTACAGGTTGAATGACAATTGCATGAGACCGAATCTAATAAAGTAAAAATGTAAAAACAACAAAACCTCTAACGCTAAACTACGCTGTAAACGCTTTAAGCCACTGAGGCATTTTGTCCTGAAACCCTAATTGAAGCGCCGCTGTTGTCCCATGACGGATGAATGAGAGTCCTGTAGCCTTTGTGTTGTTGAACTCAAGTCCATTTGCCTATTTTACTCCTGTCACACGTGTACTAAGCGTTACGTGACACTACCCAGCGCGCGGTCAAAAACGGTTTTTCTTCCCGAGCCCCTAAAGGTTCCTACCCTATATATGCTGACCCGCCCATCAATCAGATCCTTTACACAAATCACAATGCCGCTTACAAATGCATTGATAAAATAAAGTCGAATCATCACACATTTTATTGAAACTCCACGTAGTCCTTCATGCAAGCATCAGCACCTCTTTGCATGTTTCTGAAGAGCACCAGTGAGACATTTGTTTGTGAAGATCCACCCTGCAAGAGCTGCAGGGTTTTTTTTTTGGTAGTAGTAAAATAAGTATTTAAATGTCGGCCTCATTTGACTGCGTGTTGCGTGTGTCGTTATTCCAGGTCTGGGCCACGTGGGAATGAGCCCCGGCTTCCCACCCGGTCTGCCCGGCCCCCTGCAGCCCTGCTTGGGGTCGCTCACCCAAGACCCCAACTCCCCTCTGGTGGTTCTTCCTACAGAAGCCGGGCCTCACCACCACCTCGGTACGCTCCACACACACACACACACACACACACACAGCTGAGCCCGTATACATGGCCGTCTGCCCGTACCCGCTCCCCCCTGCACAGTCCTTCCTTCCCTCCATTTGTACCGTCGCAGCGGCTGCCGTTTCTCTCCCGGTTTTAGTATCATTGGCTAATCATAATATAATGCTCAACTAAGCCCCCCTGTCAGCGGCACCGTGTTTTATGGCTTCGTTAATGGGAGCAGCGATTCCATTGCCCCCCTTCTGCATGTGCGCGGCATTATGCAAACCATTTTAACTGGCGTTTGTCTCTTTCAAAGTGGAGCGCTGGACTTTGTGTGTGTGTGTGTGTGTGTGTGTGTGTGTGTGTGTGTCACTCTACAGATAGTTGTGTTCATGTCTGGAACGTCATGAGACATTGCTCAGTGTCAAAGGTTCTTCTGTACATCTCAGCCTTTGCTAGAGAGAGAAAAGACTGTGCGTGTGTGTGTGTGTGTGTCTGTGTGTGTGTGTGTGTGTGTGCGTGCACGTCAACCCCTGCTTTGCAAACAGGCTGTGAAATTTAATTATCTCCCGCCTCCCTTGCCTCGCTCCCTGGGAGTTCCTGCAGAGAGGAGGAAGTGCATCCACCGAACCCTTCCCCTGGGAAACATTAGCCCACTCAGGCTAATCTCACAGAACAAAGGTTCCCAGCGACAAGGCAGCCAAGGAGGGAAGTGTGTGTGTGTGTGTGTGTGTGAATTCATATGTGGCTTGGAAGAAGTGTTTTTTTTCCCTGAACGCCATCGTTAGACCCAGAAAGAGCTAAAGTAGGTGGCTGGAGGATGTGACGCCTGCATTGGTCGTGTCTGAGGCCAGCGGGCGGCTCTACAGGCCACAGTTGTTACGTCTTCACAAGAGCAGTTCGACAGTCCATTGATTTGAATGCGGGTTATTTCTGTTACTGCTCATTCATTGGAAAGTTTTCCAACAGGAAGGTCTTACTTATTTGTGTGTGGCAATTTTCTGCTTTTCGAATCAAACGCTAAGGAGCCCTTTGTTCGTGTTTCCCCGTTTCCTTCTCCAGATGTTCTGGAGCAGTCGGGTCTGTGGCCCCCTGTATACGGCGGCAGAGGCCCCCCATCTCATCTGCAGCATCACTCCGTCTACTCCCGCTCCTCATTCCTCCGGCAGCAGGAGCTGTACGCCCTGCAGCATCAGCAGCATCAGCAGCATCAGCATCAGCAGCAGCAGCGAGCAATGGAGCACATGCAGCGGCACTCCTTAGCACAGGTAGCCAAAACCCAGAGACACACATATTGTCAACTTATTCTATTGTTCCCCCTCCTCCCGAATAGTCAGGCATGAGATGCTCTCGGGCTCAGATCTAATCACCCAAAGGAGGAAAGCATGTGCCGATGATGCGCAGTAATAATCATTGAAGCTGCATAAGCAGCTCTTTGTGTCGCGTATTGTCGGATCCTTTGGCGATCGAACGGCGCGGCCGAGTGTGTGTCGCTGCTGCGTCTCCTGCACGAGACAACAAGGAAAGCTGTTCGATCCGCTTGTGTAACTATCCCCCCTCTCCTCCCCCCCTTTCATTTCCACAGAGGAAACACGACGAGCACGCCATCACCGTAGAGGACGCTTCTCACGAGTCCTCCGCATCCGGAACTCCTCCCTCCTCGTCCTCCTCCTCTCACATGGCCACGCCTTTCTCCCACGCCCTGCCCTCGCCCAAGACGCCCGCGCCGTCTCCGGGGACGTGTCCGAGCAGCCGCCACTCGCCCTGCTACCGCTCCCCGTCCAGGCGAGCCCACCCGCCGAACCCCCTGACCCCGGCGCCCAGCCCGGCGGCGGCCGCGCCCCGCTCCCCGGCGCTCAGCCCGGCTCCCTCGCACCTCGCCAAGGGGCTGGAGAGGAGCAACGAAAGAGGAGAGGGACAACCGCTCCAGGACTACCCGCAATCCCTCGAGCCAGGTGGGTGTGGGTGGGATTCCGTCGGCGGCCTGATGGTTGCTGTGTAGGCCGAACAGTCAGAAAACAGAAGGATAGAGTCAGACGCGGCTGCACGCACGAAGCCCGGCCTTTGAAGCGCGGCGTTCTTTTGATTTTGCAGAAATAGTTTGAAGCGTGGCCGATCCCTCGTGCGTGTGTGTGTGTGTCCTTGAGTGCGTCTGCGTGTGCGCGCGCGCAAGTTTCTGTGAGAGCTAAAGACGGACGGCGGGCGGGTCAGCCATTGAGGTCAGACCAAGCATATGGGCCCTCAGTGTGTGTGTGTGTGTGTGTGTGACCTCCCTGCGTGCATGTGTGTCACCGGAGGAAGGTCAGTGGGATCTTCAGACAGGCCCTCCTTATCCTTCAGAGGTCCTTGGGAAGTGAAGGCGGAAGGATACGCATTCATCTGGCTGTGGTGTCGGGGAGCGGAGGGATACCATCAATAATGCGAGTGCAGGGGTGACAGGGCTGCTGCTGCAATCACAGGGAAACGGGAGGGAGTCATCAATATCCCACATGGATCCACACACACACACTCTGCCCCTGTGTTTTCTGCACCCTGCTGTCAGTGTATTATGTCTACTGTAATCACATGCTTCATCCTGTCTGCGCCGACAGAATGGCAATGAATTTACAAGGGAGGGGGGCTGACTTGAAGCAGCGCGACTCTCTCCGCGTGCCTGTAAATAAATCGCCTGTGCAGTTTGCCAGAAGGCCGGTTTGACCTCTTCTCTTCTCTCACCAGACCTTCCACCGGTCTACACGTACCCTTCCATCACCCCTGGTTTCAAGGCCGGCGCGTCGCCCCCGGAGGCCCGTTTGGCTGAACATGCCACGGTGGAGGCGGAGCCAGCAGAGCCCCAGTGCAAGACACTCCCACCTCCCCGCCTCGCCAGAGAAGAAGAGGAGACGGGGGAAGAAGAGGACGGGAGACTCGTGGAAGCCCAGATCGGCGCCGCAGAGGAAGGGAAGGTGGAGAAGTGCGCGGGAGGGAAGGGACGCTCCGAGCGCCGGGGCCAGATTTCTGGATTGCCGTCATGTCCTCCCCCAGCGCCGGCGCCGGATCCGGCGGGCCGAGCCCTAAAAGTAGAGCTCTCTCTGGGCTGCCCGGGCCAGAAGGTCAACCTGGTGGAGCCCCAACTACCCAAAGAACAGGTGGCTGTCGAGGAGCACGGAGAAGAGGATGTAGAGGCGGACGTGGGAGAGACAATTGGGCCTGAACCAACAGAATGTGCTGTCTCTGTGTGTGAGGAGGAGGAGGAGGAGGACGGGGACAACAATGAAGGGAATGTAGAGGTGGTTGAGGACGAGGAGGACGAGAAAGCGAGTGGGATGAGACCAGGCGAAGACCTGGTGGGACTGAGCTGCAGGTCCCCCGCTCCCTCCTCGTCCCCCGACCCCGTCCAACCTCCCGCGGCGGTGCAGCTCCAAGGGGCCTACACGTGGAGCCTGGAGCTCCTCATCGCCGCGGCTCTGTGCGCCACCAGAGATGCCTTGAACCCGCCAACGCCCGCCGTCCGGGCCCCGAGCCCCCCACCACACCACGGGATGGAGATACTGGGAGAACTGGCCGAGCTGGAGATCCAGCAGCGGAGCAGGGGGAAGGGCGAGGGTGAGTTTCTCCCCCCGTCGGTCGCTTTCGGCCTCTTTCAAAACCCTTAAAAGTTTCAAAATGCCTTTTGAAGTGAAACCAAAGAAAGCCTCCAGTAATTAGATGGATCCCTTTCTTTTATCATCTCGTTGCAATAACACGGAAAATCAAATTAAGCAATAACAAAAAAAACATTTTTTTTTTCTTACCCACACAAACACACACTTAAAGTGAACAAAGGAAATGATCTCGCAGACGTATGCGACCCAGATGTGGAGACTCGTCGCACACTCACAGACACACTACCCACTTCCTGCAGCTCGGACGCCGTGTTCTTGCCTACAGCCCTTATTGTTCCCTTTGGGGAGGGTTTCTGTGTGTGTGTGTCTGTGTGTGTGTGTGTGTTTGTGACACAGACACACGCAGAGACACACGGGGGGGGACACACACACACTCGCTGCCCAGTGTGTCCCCGGGCTCCGGCGTCTTGCTTTGCTAATTAGACCCCTTCCTTTCAAACACTTCTCTGTAAGCGCTCCTGTTTTCCTCTCGTCCCTCTGAGAGAAAGTGTTTTTATTTATGCCACTGTGTGTGTTTGTGTGTGTTTGTGTGTGTAAGCTGTTAAGTAATCCCAGATGAATCCCCCCCCCGTCTCCCCCGTCTCCCCCCCCTTCACCTGCTTCTTCTTCCCTTTATTTTTTATTTTTTATTAAACCATGTAATCTTGTGTGTAAATCCTGCCTCTGAGAGCCTTGTCGACAGAATTAATAATTGTAAAAATCATAAGTCGCTCGCCGTGCAGCTGTCCGAGTGTGTGCGACACAAAGTGTGCGAGTGTGCATTTGTTTGCATGTCCGTGCTCAGCATGCGTAATGGGTGTGAAATCAATAAGTCCTGTCGCGGCGTGGATAACGCTCTCCAAATTGCAAGACATTTATTTAAAACCCGCTCCGTCCGCTCTGCGCCGAGCGACATTAATGCGGCAGGCGGCGTTTTTTGTCGTCCCGAATGTGTTGGGGAGATTGAAACGGATCCCGGACTGATGCGGTTCTGCTGCTCCGCGGCGCAGAAGGAGATCGCAATTACAGATTAAGGAATCAAGAGACGCTTCCCCCCCCCTCCTGTATAAATTAGCACCATTACTTCCATCTGCACCCGGACGGAGGAGCGGTTTGTGCTCCGCCCACTTCCTGTGTGTGGAAAGGCTTCTTACTGGCCCCTGATGGGAAGCGGCCCCTCATCACCTGTAATGGTTTTTAATTTTCCTTCCCGGTGTTGTTTTTCCCTTTGGAATCCCCCGTGCTTCCTCTTATCCCCCCCGTGCGCAGTGTGGCGTGATTACGGCCAGAGAGAGTGTGTCTGTGTGTGTGTGTGTGCGAGTGTGTGTGCGTGTGTGTGTGTGCGGCGCCGCCGGAGCTTCCCATCGATTGCGGCCGTCTCCCAGGACACTAAACTAGGCGTGGTGATGTCAGCGGTGATGTCATCCTGTCAGGGTAACCGGAGCGTGCCATTGGCTCAGAGGTCTGACAGATGAGACGGCGTTGACCTCTGCGAGCCGGGACAGGACAACGCAACGTCTCTCCGTCCCTCTGTCTCTCTGTCCCTCTGTCTCTCAGCTGTCGATCTCACACTCGCGCTCTCGTCTTTCTGAAGTCCAGCTTCATGGATGAAGACTCCATCGTCCCTTCCTCCTCCTCCTCCTCCTCCTCCTCTCCTCCTCTGTTTACTGCACTTCCCTCCTCCGTCTCCTCCGCTCACACACACGCAGGTTGTTAATAACCTCACATGTCAGTGGATCGGTCTGGCTGCTCTGGTGCACAGCATGAGAGTAATCCGGAGAAACCTCAGCCTCCTCTCCTCTCCTCTTCCCTCCTCTCCTCTCCTCTTCCCTCCTCTCCTCTCCTCTCCTCTCTTCTCCTCGAAGGGGAAATTGGATTCTGTCCATGTCCATAATGAGGAGATGTAGGAGAATAAATAGATAGCTCAATAAACACTTTGCCTCTTATTGCTTCTCCTCCCCTTTACTCCCCATCCTCTCCTTTATGCTCACTGCGTTGCCCTCCTCCTCCTCCTCCTCCTCCTCCTCATCCTCCCTCACACACTCATGCAGTTTGCTCGTGTCTGCGCAGCTCAGCGAAAAACGTCGTCGGTGCGTGTGTGTGATGAGAATGAGTGTGTGTTATTTGCCCAGGTGTGTGTGTGTGTGTGTGTGTGTGTCTCATGAATATTCTGTTTCATCGTCTGGTGCTGAGACAATGACAGAGTCGATGACAGTGACCGATGTAGAGATCGTTTTCCCCCCGCGCGTGTTTGTGTGTGTACGATGAAGCGGGAACGCCGGCGTACATCAAATAAACTACACAGCTAATCTCATAAATATCCACACTTTTCAATCGCGGCAGACATGAATCCGCCGGGCGCGTTTCACGCCGCAGCGCCGGCCGTCACGTGACCGGCCGATCCGAAACCCAACAACCACAACTGTCCGTCTGCGCGCAGGTGAGGACGTGCTGACCTTCGACCTCCACAGCCTGGCGGCGCTGGCGGCCGCCCGTGCCCTGGAGGTGGGGGGAGGGGTCGTCGAGGTGGGGGCGGAGCTGCAGTGTCCAATCAGGAAGAGGCTCAACCTGCGCAGGAAGTGCAGCTGGACTCCTCGCCACGAGCCGGTGAGGCTTCGCTGAAGCATATTCTGTGTGTGTGTGTGTGTGTGTGCGAACACGAATCATTCATGCAGAGAACAATCGAAACACCTCATTTGTTTGTTTTTTACTAAACAGTTGCTTGTCTTAATGCTTTTTATTTCATCCTATAATTTTATTCAAAGCAACAATTTTCCAAAGCACTTCATCCTCAGTGAGGCAAATATGGACATAAAAATCCCAAAGCAGCCCCTTATGAACCTTTGTCGCCTTTAAGTCTTTATTGGGTGGTTGAATTGTGCCGTTAATGAAGTCATATTTTACAAAATGTGATTTTAACTGGACAGAACTATTTCTTACCATTAAATTCTGACACACTTATAATTAATTAGTTTTTACTCTTTAAATAGTCCCAGTAATTTAGCTGACTACAGCAACAAACAAGACCATTAGAATTTAAAATAGACTTTAGGTTTATAGGTTTAGTCCCTTTTCTCTGTTGTTGCTTATTATCCATCATGTGTGCGTTGGTTTCACACAAAGCACCAGGTTCATTTCCCAGAATTCCTTTCCTTCAAACATAAATGGCTCTCATACATTTCAGCTTTGAGCTTCTGGTCACAGGAGAATCCAAATAATCACAAAGCTGCCCGTACACAAGCCGGCGCCGCCACCAATCCAATGACTGTTGAACTCAGCGTGTGTTCAGCATTGAAATTCTCCTGCTCTGTGTGTGCGTGTGTGTGTGTGTGTGTGTGTGTGTGTGTGTGTGTGTGTGTGTGTGTCAGGTGTGCCCGGTGAAGGGCTCCATGGAGACGATGGGAGGGGAGGAGCTGTCCATGCGCGTCCAGCTGGCTGAGCTTCAGCGCCGATACAAAGAGAAACAGAGAGAACTGGCCAAGCTACAGAGGAAACACGACCACCAGTGAGCAACAACACACACGCACACACACACTCGGCTTTTCTGTTGAAATTGCGTCGTGCATTCCAACATTCACAACTTTTGTGCCGCGCCGCTCCTTGCTGCTCGTACCTCACGCAGTTTGACCTGCAGCCGATGCAAGTTTCCTCCTGCTGTCCGGACTGCATCTCTGATCCCCCCTCTCCCCTTCTCTCCCCCGCCCCTCCCCCTCCCTGCAGGAAAGAGGAGACGTCTCGAAGCCCCGCCCGCCGGCGGCCCGGCCGCCCCCGCAAGCGCAGGTCCGCCCCCGGCCCAGCTGCTGCTGCAGAGAGCGCCAAAAGATTCAGGTCAGTCCTCGGATGCTGCGTCCGTATAATCAGTGTGATTGGCGAGCCGCCTCATTCATCCTGATTTCTGTTTGTGTTCTTAGTGAAAGGCACGGCTGATTTTCAACAAGTTCTTCTTCAGCTGAATTGATTCAAACGCTCTGTAGCTGATGATTTGCTTGATTGGGCCTGGAAGGAGCAGCGCGCACACACACGCACACACGCACACACACACACACGCACACACGGTGTGTTGGAAGCTGGAAGCTAGGTGTGATTTTTAAATTGGGCGAAAGGAAATAGGAGATAAGACCCTTCATTAATCTTCTTTAATTCACTTAAAAACTCTATATATCCCTTGCATTGCATAATGTCCTGCATTTTAATGCAGCCGGACAAAGTCCTGATGTTCAGTTATTACAGTGATAAACGACCCCCCCCCCCCCCCCCCCCCCACGCCCGCCCGCTGCATCACACAACCACACGTTATTTAGCGCCTCCGACGTGCACGTCTTCATGCTGGAATCTCACACAGCGGCCGACGTGCAACACTCACAGAGATAAATGTGTTTTCTCATGCTGCCCCACCTCTGTTAGCAGGCGCCCCCCCCCCCCCCCCCTCGCCGCCATGCAATGATTAGAGCAGCTCAGGGTTTGTCACGGTAACCATGATTGGAAAGCGCTAATGAAAGTGACAATAAGAGGCTTCAGACATACATGCAACACCACACACACACACGCACACGGGTTGTTTAATTAGCAGAGCTGGTGACGGCGTGCCTCAGCAGCATTCCTCTCGTGGTTAAACAAGCGCTATTTCATTGTTCAGCTTTCATCTTCAGAGTCGTGGGTGGAAATGAAGCGGCGGGAGACTGAGACGTGTCGAGAGTTACAGTAACGTTTCCGTGGAGGTGTTGGAGGAGGCCCCGATCAGCCGGACCTCGAGGCCCCGAGGTCCGGCTGATCAAACCAGCCACGTTCCCCCACAACTTTACTCCCTTCGTCACTCTGTATTCTGGAGCTTTGGGATGTTTAAGGAGGAACCGGCCGTCTTTTGTCCAAAATGTAATGGAATTGAATCGCGTGCGTTGGCCATTTACTCTGGTTCACAGAATGCGCAATGCTCACGTGTCGTAGCGCCGGTGAAGATGAGGGCAACTCTGTGGCCTGGACGCTCAGCGGGGTCAGAGGTCAACTCTCAGGCAGGGGAGGGATGCCACAGACATGTTGATGGATGCATGGACGGAGCTTTAAGATTTACCATTTATTTAGATATTTTCAGTTCCTTTTTTTTCCTCCACTCCTCTCCTCTCTCCTCTTCTTTCCTACCTTTCCTCTCTCCTCTCTCCTCTTCTTTCCCACCTTTCCTCTCTCCTCTCTCCTCTCCTGGGAGCAGAGATGCTGAGAGCAAAGCCGTCCCTCTGTGGGAATATAGGATTCACCTGCCTCAGACACCAGCTGTTAACAGAGTGTCTGAGCTGCTGTGTGCGTGTGTGTGTGTGTGTGTGTGTGCGTGTGCGTGTGTGTGTGTGAGAGGGAGACCTTGCATACAATGAAGGAATGAAGGAGAGAGGGAGGAAGGAGGAGTAGTGTTCAATAGAGGTTAGTGTTTATCGATCGAGCCCCGAAGCTCCGGTCAACGGACAGACTCCCCCGAGACTGCTTCATCTCTCTCTCCCTTCCCCCTCAACCACTCTCCTCCCCTCCTCCCCCCTGTCTCTCCTCCTCCCCCTGTCTCTCCTCCTCTCTCCTACATGCCACATCAGTCTTATTCCTTTCATGGGGGGATTCAGCGGAGTTTGATATTTGCACGGCTGCTGAATATTTCTGTTTGCCGTTAAACTGCAGAGACGGTTTCTCACCTCATCAAAGTTATGAGAGGGGGAGGAGGAGGGAGGAGGAGGGGGGGAGGCATTGAGTGAACCCGGCAGAGGGGGAGGCAGAGTAAGAGAAAGAGGAAAGTAGAAATGCGCGGAGAATTCTCTCTGAAAAGGGAAGAAAGGTGATTCACTCTCCTCTGTGTTCTGGTTTCTAGAGCCGGACTGAATCTACTGGAGGAAAAAGGCCGAAAGAAATTATCCGATCACGGCTTCAACGGCCTCAGCAGCGTCCAGGTCGGTCCCCCGCCGCTCCGTCCGCTGGTCCTTTGTCCCGCTGGGATCAGTCACTGATCAGCTGTTTGGCTCCGTGTGTCCAGATGAAAGCTCGCTGTCAGCACCGCGGCCGGCCCGGCGCCCTGAGCTCCAGGCTCGCCCGGCGGGTCACCCAGCTGAAGCAGAAGGCCGGGGCCCATCGGGGCGCAGCGTCGGTGGGTATGCTGCACCGCAGGGGGGCCGCTGGCGAGCAAGGAGCCGCCGACAGTCTCTGCGGGCCGGGACGAAAAGGTGAGCGCAGAGGAGGCGAGTACTGCACACGCACACGCTAGTTGCCCGTTAAGGGGGGGTCCCTCAATCTGAACGCCCCACTTCGTGTGTTGATCCATCAGGCCTCCAGCTGGACTGGCCGACCGGTCAGACTGTAAAGGGGGGTCAAAGGCCCAAAGCGCCGACGGGCGTCGACGCGGCCCGAGCCCACCGCCATCGCGGCCGGGCCGCCGAGAAACGGAGCGTCGGGGGGAGCGAGGAGCGACAGCGAGAGCTCGGGAGGCGGTGAGTGGCAGCGCGGCGTTGTGTGTCCTCCAGCCAGACAGCCCGGTCACACACATGATCAGCACACGTTGTGTGTGTGTGTGTGTGTGTGTGTGTGTGTGGGGGGGGGGGGGGGGGGGGTGTAACGACTTGCCAAAGGCATCCAACGCCCCCCCCCCTCCGGTACGTGAGCCCGCGGGGCCACTCTAGATTTTTACACCCAGTGTCCCACACCCCCCCCACACTGCCTCGCCCACCTAGACGAGACCCAAGACCCCCCCCTCCAAGATTTCAGGGGATGAGAAGTGGACAATCCGGTTCCTCCGGACTTTGAAGGCGTCTCTGCTATGAAACGAACCAGAACGCGACGGTCCGATGGACCTCGATAGCAAACAGTGGATGAACGTGTGTGTGTGTGTGTGTGTGTGGGTGGGTGGGTATGTGGGGGGGGGGCAAAGTGTTGATGAGAGCGCCGGCTCAGTGACAAGTGTGTCAGAGACGTGTCGACACCCGACACAAACCCCCCCCTCCTCCCCAGTCAGCGGCACCGGCTGCCAATCATTCCTGCACAATGTCAACATTTGAATCCCGTCACTGCGGCTCCCGATTGTGCAGCTTTTGTGCGGCAAATGTCCCACTTAGAGAGAACCGGTCCATCAGCCGGCCCGCCCGTCTCCCGGTGCGTACGATGACTTCGGTTTAGCCGACAGCTTCGGAGCCGCGGACGCCGGAGGAATATTGAGAGCTCGCTGTCAATACTCCTCATCCAGTGAGTGTTTACACGTAGACCACTCGAAGCCTTCTGACTGATCACGTCCGTGTTGTGATTCCACAGAGGAAGAGGAGGAGGAGGAGGAGGGGGACGAAGGCGGCTACGCCAGCGCAGACGGCGCCGGTGACGTCAGGATCAGCTCGTCCTGCAGAGAAGCTCCTGCGAACCCTGATGGGATTGTGCCTTTTTCATCGCAGTCGTCCGCGCTGCACTTGAACCAGAAAGCCAGGAGTAAGTTTAAGTTCTGCAAAGTTCAGCCAATCTTTCACTGATCACCTTTCAATTGCAGGCGAGTCACGTGATTTTTTTTTCACCTCTAATCTCACGATGTCTCGTTCACCCTCAGGCGCGAGGCGAGCGCTGCGGAGGCCGAGCCTCGCCGCCGCAGAGAGGGGCCCCCCGCTCCACCTGGGGACCCGGAGGGCGCCTCTCCCCAGCTGGGGCGCGGCGTCCCCGGGCCGCGGCTTGGGGGGCGGACGCGGGAACCACGGAGCTACGAGAGGAGCGGACCGGGCCGGCGAGGAAGCCGCGAGGAAGAGCTCACCCGGACAGGGCGGCTTGAGAAAGGTGAGGGCGACTTTTGACCTCACTGCAGCATTTCGGTTCCGCCGGTGGCAGCCGTTCAGCGGGCGGATTCGCCCGTGACAGCAGTGATTTACGACACTCACATGTCACATTCACGCGTCTGCTTTCCCGCCTCGTTCTGCGCTGTCCTGTACGTGACACGTGGTCACCTCCTACATCGGTTTGCCGAAAGCTTCTGAAACTTAAGAACGGACAATATAGGGAGTTCTAATTAAGAGCAGGGAGCCGAAGCTGCAGCGCTTCTGAAGCTCAGCATCCGTGTAAGAGGGACACAATCCGTGTGCATTTCCGGTACTTGTTCTTCCATGATCATGGGTGGGCCGGGGGGGGGGGGGGTGAAGGTGAGACGCGATCGCCGTTTTAAAGGTGTGACTGGAAAGGTTGTATAATTATATTCACAACAAATCTCTGCTGTCAAAGAGCTTTGAAGGCTGAGAAGCCAAGAAACGCTTCCCGTCCTTTACGTCGGAGCCACGCCTGGCAACACGCTATTTGAAACCAGTAGATCACGGTTGACAGGACTCGTCGTTATGGTATGTGTTTGGATGCCAGTTCAACTTAATGAAAGACGCCTCAGGGTTCCTTTAGTCATTGTGAGGGAACGTCCAAAAACACATGAAGATAATGATTGACCACAGTAGAGTAACACACACACACGCACACCTTTTCTTTAGAAAGCCTATAAACAAGCAGGAACCCGTCATCAGTCATCTTTGAATAGACCGGCCTTGAAACGGGTCTGCAGATGGATCCTATCTGGTGTGTGTGTGTGTGTGTGTGTGTGTGTGTGTGAGTCTCACACAACGAGGGGCTCTGGTTGCTTTTCACACGGGTTCAGCCACATGAATACGTGCGCACAATGAAGTGTTACCGCGTGCCGCTTCCTGCCCGCTGATGTCACTTCCTGTTTCCCGTGCAGGCCAAGGGCCACGCAGTGAGCCGGCTCCTGCAGAGCTTTGCAGCCGACGACGGCTTTCAGTTGGACGAGGAAAGTAGCTTTTCTGAGGGCGAAGACGAGGAAGAGGAGGAGGAGGAGGAGGACCTGGAGCTGGAAGCGGGAGAGGAGGAGGAGGAGGAGGAGGAGGAGGAGGAGATGAAGTTGACCCACCTTCCTCCCAACATGCCATGCAGAGTTCCTGGTAGGCATCAACAGTGACGCAGGTTTGAAAAGGCTGCTGGAGCCTTTTCACCGGCGCACTCACCCTCCTTCTCACTCGCAATGATTCACCCCACTCACAAACTAATGCGAAGCACACGCTTCATCTTTATCCTTATCTTCTCCACCCATCCATCTTTCCACCACGCCCCTCCCCGGCAGCGCTGCCCAACTGCGTGCTGAGCAAAGAGATGCTGGTGGACGGCCTGAAGATCCTGATCTCCAAGGAGGACGAGCTGCTGTACGCCGCCTGCGTCCAAACTCTGGACCTGCCCGACATGTGAGGCCCTTCTGCTCCGCCGCCCCACCGCACAGTCTCACGAGGTTCCCTCCCCCCCCTGAAAGGTTGCACTCACAAAATACATCATGAACAGGAATCAGGAAAGAGATGTATTGATCCCAATGAGCAAAGCGTGAGAATCTGTGGGGGGGACCGGGGGGGACAGGAGTTCAGTGCTAGAAACCCAAAGATGAGAACGTATCTTCGCTGCAGTTTAATGCCTGACAGCTGTGTGGAACCAGACTTCTCCAAAGCCAACACACACACACACACACACACACACACACACACAGCTGCCAGCGAAGGAAACAACAACTGAGCACATACGGCAAAAAAAAAAAAAAACCTAACCTTGAAATGGAACCGGGGAATCAATTAAAACAACATTCCGGTTATTGAGGGCAACGTTTTTTTTCCCCCCTTCTCCCAGATTCAGCGTCGTCGTCGAAGGAGAGCGAGGGAATCGCCCTCGGATCTACTCGCTGGAGCAGCTCCTGCAGGAAGCCGTGAGTCCCCAGTCTCCGCTTCCGCATCGACTTCCGGCTTCAAACGAAAACTCGCTTTTACAAATCGCGCTGTGACTTTTTCTCTCTGCAGGTGTTGGACGTGCGGCCGCAGAGCAAAGCCATCCTGACCGCCGGGACGCGAGTGTGTGCGTATTGGAGCGAGCGCTCTCGCTGTCTTTACCCCGGATACGTCCATCGAGGTGAGCGAGAGACACCGGCGACCTCGCGCACACACACACAGACGCACAGCGGTGCGCTCGCCTCATGTCCTCCGTCCTCTGTGTTGTGCACCAGGAGGTCCAGGTGAGGAGGAGAAGGAGGCCAGTGTGATGGTGGAGTTCGATGATGGAGATCGGGGTCGGATCTCTCTGGCGAACATCCGGCTCCTGCCACCAGGATACCAGATCTGCTGTGAGTACGACCTCGAGAGGAGGGACGGGGGGGGGGGGGGACACAGAGACACGCAACAGCTGACCAGCATTTTGACGACCGCCGCTTGGCAACTCTTCTCCGGGCAGGCGCGGAACCGTCTCCGGCTCTGCTGGTCTCACCTGGGCACCGCGGGAGACGAGGCTCCGCCCAGGAGAGGAAAGACACGCCGGCAGAGAAAGCGACCAATGAGGAGTCAGCAGGGAGACGCCAAGAGAAAAGACCAGGTGACCACATGTCCTCTATCGACGCGTTTTGTCACTCCTCAAAGGCCCACATGAAGGTTTTTAATCAGCTTTGACGGCATTGAGTTTGATTTGTGAACGAAAAAAACGATTTCATGAGACTGAGGAACGCAGTCTGGGACCAGAGCTTTTATATATCTGAGAAGTAACTGGTCTAACTGGTGGACGCACTCACACACATTTAGCTTCAGGCCAGAGTCAAATCCCCGAACAAAGCCTCATTGATGGTTCTAACTGTCAAACACTTATCAGAAGATGCATCAACTTTTCCTTTATGCCACCTATCACCTGCATATTACCACATGACTCATGTTTTTACGAGGCGTCACCATGGTGTTGTTGAGCAACATGCTGCTCTTATAACTCATCACAAGCTGCTGTGACGGTGAAGCTGGAGGCACAGACAGGTCTACCAGGTTTGTAGAAGTTTGAGTAATGGGACTTGTCGAAACCAACCTGGCCAGGTGGAGATGTAGAAGATAGAGATGTGACTCTTAGTTCCACGACTATCTCAGTCGGTTCATATTGACTGTAACTCTCCTCTTTCCCAGTCGGCAGGCCGAAGAAAGTCCTCTCGGTGCCTGAGACGTCCAGCGCGCCGACATCGGCGGCCGAGCCTTCAATCAAAGGCAACGCCTCCTTGTTGAGCTGGTCGGCTCCCCGGAAGAGGCCGCCGGTGGACTTCTTCCTCTTCAACGGGACGTCCCGTAAGACCCAGCGGAGGGTACGGGAGCGAGACTCGGGGCTGTTCCATCGACCCGCCTCCCACCTGCTGGCGCCGCCGATGCCCATCAAAGGCATCTTCGGCTCCCCCTTCGAAGGCGACTCGTTCAGCAGCATCGCCAACAGCTACTCGACCTTCAGGAGCTCTGGAGCGGGGCGGCCGGTCGCCGCGGGAAGCCGCGACTCGTCGTCCTCCGCTGGCTCCTCGGTCGTCGCCATGGCGACGGTTCCCGCAGGCAAGAAGCCAGCGGGCGACTGCGACAGGAAACAGTTCCTGGTGAAGCTTGACCACGAAGGAGTCACCTCCCCTAAAACGAAGAACGCCAAGGCCCTGCTGCGACTCGGCGGAGGCGGGGTTAAAGGAGACAAGAGCGTCGCCCCCGCCGCGGCGCCGCTGCGGTACGTCCACCCCGCGCTGGCGGGAAAGGACGGCGCGGGGGCCCGTTCCGAGCCCACTGTGAAGGCCACCCCACCCCACAGGAAAGATCGGCTGTCAGCCGGTCTCGGAGCCAAAGGCGGGGATTTCACTGCCGACTTCCTGAGTGACGGCGCCAGTTCTTACTCTGAGCTGGACGAGGAAGACGAGGATGACGCTCAGGACGCCGAGGCACCTCGAGGTGCCGGCGCCGCCGCGTCCCACCGCGGCGGCCGCTTTCTCTCCCGTCTTTCTGCCTGCTTCTCCTCATCGTCGTCGTCGTCCTCCTCCTCCGGCTCCATCTCCTCCTCCTCCTCCCTCTGCTCGTCGGACAACGACTCCTCCTACTCCTCCGACGAAGAGACCTCCTCGGTGCTGCTGCGCCGCGCTCTGCTCCAGCAGGACAAGCACAAGCACCGGCAGAACATGACCTCCGACCCCGCCAACTCCGGCTCCTCCCCGTCGGCTTCGGCCCCGCCGCACGGCTACGCGGCCAAAGCCGGCGCGGCCGTCCCGGGGTCGAAGGTGAGAGCCGAGAGAGCGGACGGCAGGAAGGAGTTTGCGTCCAAAGGAAGCGTGGCGGGCGGCAGCAGCGCGGCGAGGAACCAGCTGAAGAGGAAGGAGGGGATTTCCAGCAGCCACCATCAGAGGCAGATCAGCCACGTCAGCCGGCAGACCAAACCTGCCTCCAAGGACCCGGCAGCGGCTAAGAGGCAGCGGATGTCCTCCCCCGAGCCCCTGCCTCACATGGCCCCTCCTCTGCCCGGGCGCCAGCTCTGGAAGTGGTCCGGCAACCCCACGCAGGTGAGGACACGCCGGGTTGCGTTCTTCTCCCAACAACGCTGCTGTTACCACATCGCAGCCTCAGTAGCTCCCCGGTTGTTGCGTCACGCGTTTGGTGCCACACGGCGAATGCGATGATTAGATGCTTACTCTGCATTTGTCGCAATGGGCGAGATTGAGGAATTTATTCCCCTGATTATTTAGTCCCGATCCCGAGATAACGGAACGAAACACTTCCGCTCTGCGGTTGTTTGCGTCTCCATGAATTGACTGAAGGAAAAGACGTGTTACACAGGTGATGATCATCGTGTTGCTTTTATCAGGTCGAGAGTCAATCATTGATTTGGCTAAAAAGAAAACGCGCTCCTGTAACTCGATTGGGTGGGTGTGTGTCATGCTGGTGGGTGTCACGTGGGTGTGTCATGGTGGGTGTGTCACGGTGGGTGGGTGTCATGGTGGGTGGGTGTCACGGTGGGTGTGTCATGGTGGGTGGGTGTCATGGTGGGTGGGTGTCACGGTGGGTGTGTCATGGTGGGGGGGGGTCACGTGGGTGTGTCATGGTGGGTGGGTGTCATGGTGGGGGGGTCATGGTGGGTGTGTCATGGTGGGGGGGGTCACGTGGGTGTGTCATGGTAGGTGTGTCATGGTAGGTGTGTCATGGTGGGGGGGGTCACGGTGGGGGGGTCATGGTGGGTGGGTGTCACGGTGGGTGTGTCATGGTGGGGGGGTGTCATGGTGGGGGGGTCATGGTGGGGGGGTGTCATGGTAGGTGTGTCATGGTAGGTGTGTCATGGTGGGGGGGGTCATGGTGGGGGGGGTCACGGTGGGGGGGTCATGGTGGGTGTGTCATGGTGGGGGGGTCATGGTGGGTGGGTGTCATGGTGGGGGTGTCAGGGCGTCAGGCATCAACTATTCACTGGCTTTCAGGGACATATTCAATCTAAGCACACTTTTGAGGACTGGCTTCAGTTCTGTGGTGAAATAAACCCTCCGCGCTGAATAACTTGACTGAGTGTTATTTTTGCCCTCGTGCGCCGACAGAGGAGAGGTCTGAAGGGTAAAGCCCGCAAGCTTTTCTACAAGGCCATCGTGAGGGGCAAGGAGACGGTGCGTGTCGGGGACTGCGCCGTGTTCCTGTCACCTGGCCGGCCCCAGCTACCCTACGTGGGCCGGGTGGAGAGCCTCTGGGAGTCCTGGAGCTCCAGCATGGTGGTCAGGGTCAAATGGTTTTACCACCCGGAGGAGACCCGCCTGGGGAAGCGACACCGCGACGGCAAGGTAAAGGCCAGGGGGGGCAAGTGGGATTTGTAGATTGCGAATGGTCAGAAGTAACAGACCGTGACATTTCCATATAAGTGTATTACCTCTTGGCTTTTTATTTCCTGTTCCCATCTGATATGAATGGCTGAACAGCCACTCATCTCATGGCACTGTGACCATTCGCTCTGCTGCAGAGGAAGCCATGTGTTTTGCATTTCTTGCGAGAACAAAAGTGGTTTGTTTGGAATAAATATAAAAAGAGCTGCGTAGTGATCGTGATCAGCAACATCCACACAAAAGATCTCCACTTGCAGAAACTCAAACTTCATCATGAGAAACCCCACAGCTGAAAGACACGACGGAGGAGGCGTGTGTGGGAAGTGCAGAGTCAAAGTGGCAAAAAAACAACATTACAAACGCTTCTTCTCAAAGCAACATGTTGGTGTTTTACTGTGTAATCCTGCAGATTCATCAACTCTTTTCCCCGTGTCCCCCCCCCCCAGAACGCCTTGTATCAGTCGAGCCACGAGGACGAGAACGACGTGCAGACCATCTCCCACCGCTGCCAGGTGGTGAGCAGAGGCGAGTACGACCACCTGACGCGCGACCGGAAGCCCGGCGGCGCGGCCGACGACCTCTTCTACCTGGCGGGGACCTACGAGCCGACCACGGGCCATCTGATCGGTGCGGACGGCACGGCCATCGTGTCCTAGCAGCCAAGAGAGAGATCCAAATATCGTACACCTGAACTCTGGAGGTGACTTCTTCCAGGACGGTCCTACGGAGAGGGAGCCGGGGGGACGGAGCGGATTGATCCGCCCCGTGTAGGAGAAGGAGCTGGCCCGCTGGACCGTACTGGCACTCGCAGGAGCCTGGTTTCTTCTGGGGAACGAGAGCGCAGAGCCCCCCCCCCCTCTGGCTGGAATAATACTGTTCCTCGTCGCTGTGACGAGACGTGCAGGGGCCGAGGAGGTCCGCGCTTTGAGGTCCAGTCGCTCGGATGTGCTGTGCAGGCGGGGGGGGGCCAGAGTAAGCAGAGACTGGGTGTAAACCACACTGGTTTCGGAGGGTTTTCGTGGTCTTACTGGTAGTTTGACTATGACGAAGTGATTGGAAGATCCCCAACAGGACCAAAAAAACAAAAACACTGTAGTTCGGACTGTGTGTGTGTGTGTGTGTGTGTGTGTGTGTGTGTTTGCAGAGTGGCTGCGATGACCCTGTTTGGCATTTAATGAGCTCTGAGTAAATAGTGCTTTAACGTGCATGTGTGTTTGTACCGCGTGCGTGTCCGTGCGCGCGCTCGCCCGCGCTCATCGGGCGGGGAGGACGCCGCGGCGCGCCGCCGGATAGTCGCGGACGCTCTGAATACGAACTCGACGTGCAGCGACTGGCACACAACACGACTTCTTCTCCCGTCAAGCCATACACGTCAATACCTCTCGTGCCCTCGTGTTCGGGCACCAAGACACATGTACAGGTAGTAAATGTGAGTGTGTGTGCGCTTTGTACAGCATCATGTGTAATATAACATGTTGTAAATACTATACATATATATTTGTTCTTTTTTTGTTGCTTTATTTTGCAGAGAAGATTATTTTATTTAGATTTTTTAGGGGGGGGTTCGGGTGGGGGTCTGACGGAGGGAGACGGCCTCTCTCTTAATGCACTGAACGGGAGTGTTCGGATTTTGGGGTCAAACTGTACAGCTGATGTGTGACATTGTGCTTGTGAGGCGAAGGGTGTGTGTGTAGAAAGGGTGGTGGGGAAATGTTTTATAAGGAAATCAGAAAAAGGCTCTTTTTAAACGTGTCCAGATGTTTTTATTTTTATTTAGTTTCACTCCATTAAGGTTCAAATTTGTATTTCCTGATAGGAGCTTCTTTTTTTTTATACAAATACTGGAAAAGAAACTGAGTTTCTGCTGTTGTCTGACCCCAAAAGAATCTGGTTCTTTATCTGTTTGGCCTGTATACCTATATGAAATGTAGATATTTATCTGGCATCAAAAAGAAACATACCAAAGCACCTGTGAGTTCACTCTTCACCACATTAGAAGAAAGAATATTATGAAAACGACATAAAAACGTTTAATCAAATCTGAATCCGGGACCCTGCAATCACTGACGTAAAGAGTTCTTCTCGTTGTCTGCTCGTGTTCGTCCGGCGTTGCTATGACAACCTGCAAGAAACGTTGCAGCAACAATGTCTCCACGCTGCTCAGCTGATGCACTTGAGGTAACCGTGGCAACCAGAGTGGCATCATGTGACTGTGAAGGACAATCAAAGCCAATCAATTGGACGATGTGGAGGGACACAAAAACAAAAACAAGTCGAGGATCAAATCACAAATTATGCTTCTTGTCACTTTTATTCCTGCTTTGCCAAAAATGTATGTTTTTATGTTTGCTTGTTTTCCTTGTTTACCATTGTCTAACTTTTTATGCAAGCCTCTGATGACTGTTGTCAGTGTACAGGATGTACAGGGAGAAAGGACACTGACTTTTAACCACAACTTTGCTGTTACACTGCTAAGCAAAAGCTTTAAAAGGAAACTAATGTGAACTCAATTTCAAAATATTAGTTTTATGGGTCTTTAATTGCTTGTTTTTCTTCAAGAAACACTGGATTCCGTTCTAACCATCATGTTTTGACAGAGGCGACATCATTGTTTTTTGTTTCAGACCCACTGGAAAACTGCTTTGTATTGTTGAGAGAGCCTACTAAAATATATTATGTAATTTCAGTCATTCTTTGGAAATATGACTTAAATATTTCCTCATGTACAAAAGGAAAGATTATTTATCTTAATTTTATTGCCTTTTTGTGTTACATTAAAAAACAAAAGATTCTTAAAAAACTTTTCTGCTGCTCCTTTGAAACGCGGCCTGGTTTCCATCAGTGCCGATCGTCTGTCTCGGTTTGGAAACCGGTCCTCAGAAGAAAGCGGAGAAGAATGAGAAGGGGGGCAGGGGGGGGAAGAGAAAAGAAGAAAAACACAAGTTATTTGAACCCGTAGCCGACAGACGGGCGGGAACGAGGTGTCAAAGGAAACGGGAGGACGACGTGTCCTCGGCTCTACAGGTGGCTCAGGTGTTCACAGCGATACAAACGGAACAAGACCATTACGGGACATAGAGAGAAGATCCGCTTTCATCCTGCCAAGACGATTGTGTGTGTGTGTGT